AATAAAAAGGATTGAGATATATTCTACATATCCACAGGTACGCTGCAAGAATCTGCTACCCTGATATGCAGTTAAGTGTCCCCAGGTTGTACAATGTTATTCTCCTTTTTTTTAAAAGTGACTCAGCAGTTTTGCAGTCTTTATGATTATATATATATAATGGCTACAATCTTGTTGCTTAGTGTAGTAAGTAACAACTAAAGTAGGTCCATTGAATCAGAGAAATTTTGGTGAGTCAGCTCCTCCAAAAGTTCAGTTAATTCAATGGGCATACCCCACTTACACATTACTGTGCTAAGCAACAAGATTTCAATGAATTGAATATCAATGAATATCATTCTGGGCAAATGAGGTGACATGGCATTAACATAAGTGAATGACAAGAGTAGGGGGACCCAATCTGGATTTGAACCTATACTTGAGAATTCAATCCTTTGTGCTCCATTGTGGTTGCAATCTTCATCTACTATTTATCTTGGGAAGGAAAGCTTCCATTTTATTATGAAGTGATTAACCCATGCAGGGCAGACTGCATAATCATGACCAGAGATGGGCATGAACCTTGGTTTGGAGATCCAACTCAATTCATTGCTATGCCCACACAGGTGCAGGAATTCCTGTCCAGCCTCCTCATCTGGGTGGGTGGCTGATGGAGAAAGCGGGAGAGGGAACAGAAGCTGCAAAATATGAGAGGGCAGTTACACTGGGGAGGTGGGGAGGGAAGCACATGTTGCCCAAGGAATGGGCGAACATGCAAAGGAGATGGGAGGGCTAGGGACAAATTGGGTCAAACCTCCAAACCAAGGTTCATGATCCCAAGGATCTCTAATCATGAGCATAGTGGAAGCGAGGCCCCCATGCCCGCTCATAGATTTGGAAGGTGCCTCAAGGATTATCTAGCCCAGCACCTTTCTGGAGGAAAAAATCTGCTCCTGACAGGTGTCCATCTTGTCACTGACTGAAAACTTCTAACAAAGGAGAATCTGACCTCTCTCAAAGGTGTTCGCCATCACAGCTTGTACCATCAGCAACTTTATGTCCAGTCTTTCTAGTAAACTCTTTTTGAGCTTGTGGTCTAAGTGAACAATCTGACACTGAATACCAAACCTTGCATTTCTTTTAGTGTTTCAAATAATAAGGTGAGCAGGCATTTATGAAATGCTTTTATAAATACCTATTTTTAAAAACAGAGTTGGGCCCATTTACATCCTACGAGTATTTCACTTCCCTCTGGTCTTTCTAGGCCTCATATAGCATTTTTTCATAACTCATTTTCTGTTTCTAAAACTGACTATTTCAGGCCTTTACACCACACAGTGGAGCCTCCCCACTGCCAAAGGCATGCCAGATCGATCAATCAATCAATCAATCAATCAATCAATCAATCAATCAATCAATCAATCACCATGGTCCATGGAGGTTAAAAATGTCCCCCATCCAGCAAAGTTGCCTGCCTTTAGACTACAGACTTGACATCTTCTTTTCTATCCCAAGCTCATGCTGTTGACACATACAGCCTAAACTACTCTCAGTAAATCTGCCATCTTGACCACTTCAAGAATTATTATCAATTCCTTTTAAAATTGTATGGGTAGTATTATACACTAATAATAACCTCAAGCCATTAATGTGGCTACTTCGGGAACAACAAAGGCTAACAATAGGAACACCTGCAAGTTATGTCCTTATCCATGTCTGTTTTGTTCTATCAATCTACCTGGCGAGGGAAGTGCATAATTCAACTGGTACTGCTAGTAATCTTAATAAGTAATAAATAATAATCACGTGCCATCAAGTCAATTCTGATTTATGGTGACCTTTTTCAGGGTTTTCCTGGTAGAGAATATTCAGACATTGTTTAGCATTCCCTTCTTCTGGGGTTGCCCTGGGACTGTGCAGCTTGTCTATGGCCATTCAGGCTAGCTCTACTTGCAGAAGGCACAGTGCGGAATCAAACTCCCAAGCACTGGCTCAGCAGTTAGACACCTAAACTACTGAGTTACCCACCCAGTGGTGAGCTATCCAAACAGCCAGTAACCTTAGCAGTCTCAAAATTACCTCCATGAAGGTAAACTTCAGTAGGTCCAGTTGAATCGTACATTGAGAAAGGCAAAAAGAAGACTATGCAGACTGAATAAGAATCTCTTTCTTCCATTTGTTTTGTCTCTCCACATAACCATGATATACTATGGGTTGCCATTTAAGCACACTTTCTATTCTCTAATTCCAATAAAGTGAACAGTATGACATCACTTCTCTGCCCTAAGATTTACTATCACCTCATTGAATCCTACTGCATATATAAATGAGATGCCTGTTTGTGGGAGAGAGGGAATAAGAATCTCTTTCTTCCATTTGTTTTGTCTCTCCACATAACCATGATATACTATGGGTTGCCATTTAAGCACACTTTCTATTCTCTAATTCCAATAAAGCGAACAGTATGACATCACTTCTCTGCCCTAAGATTTACTATCACCTCATTGAATCCTACTGCATATATAAATGAGATGTCTGTTTGTGGGAGAGAGAGAGAGAGAGATTAGAAAGATATTACAAAAAAGAAAACATGTCCACCTTTAAAAAGGTTTCCAGTATTGTCAGTTATATTTTGTCAGTTATATTTTGATTTATTTCTGCATCTTTGCTGTTCAAGCAGAGGTAAACAAGCAGCAGGTTGACCTGAATGGGAAATGAGGCTGAAGAATAAACATGGCACTCTGTATTCAGATGTGTATTATAAATCTTGTTATTTGACAATAACATACAGGGATCAAAACTGTGGGGTCGATCCATGACAGTTATCACAGATTTTGATTAATGTAATATACACAGATCCTAAAAAAAAAGTTTATTATTCCCCAGAAAACATCAGGGATATCTTTCTAATCAATGTGGTATATTACTCGTACATGCATTGTTCTTTGGTACATATTTGTTTACTATCTCTTCATTGAGCCTGTTGAGTAAGCTTTTCACCAAAGGAAGAGACCAAAAAGGAAGTTTTGCTAGGGCTGAAATTACCGTAGCTGGTCTTTTTTTATTCACTCTGTTACTATGTGATTTTGATTAACCTGCAGATACATGATCTTTATAGGTCGGCAGTTTGGCATATAGCTGTTGATACCTGAACTACTACAAAACAGCATCAGCATCTACCTCCTTGAAGTACAGGCTACAGAATTATATAGATACTTCAGCCATGAGACAGGGTCTAAAGTATAATTCTGGATTCTAGGTTTTCTTTCCCCAGTCTTAGAAAATGAGAGGAGGATAATAAGCATTTTTCATTTATTGGCACTCTGAATCTATCCAAACATGTCATGTCATTGTTGCATGCTGATTGTAAATAGACTTCTGTTGTTTAAACTATCCAGTTTGTTGACTTCTTTTCCATCAGTGGACAACAGCAAGCAGAGAACTTCTAAAAGCATTCATGCATTTGAACTAAATTGGCTAAGGTCAAGTGGAAGGTCTTAGATACTCAATTCTCCTTATTTTCCTGTCTAAACAACTTTTTCCCCCCAAACTGCAGCAATATTTTCTGGGGTTGTTGGCAGTTTTGGCTGAGAAATGAACCTTATTTTAACCCTCAAACTTAACACTTAGGAGAACTTAAGTGGTCCAAAAGTGGGACTATGGAAGAAACAAAATGGTGTAGACCAGTGGGTCCCAACCTTGGGTAACCCAGGTGTTCTTGGGCTGCAACTCCCAGAACTCTGGTGGTGAAGGCTTCTGATAATTACAGTCCATCACCACCTAAATTATCCAAGTTTGGTGACTATGTATTGGTGTTGACAGTCTCTGTGGTACCTTTTCATTCTTCTCAAAAACTGTCATTTTGGATTAAAGTTATTGGGTTCAGTAATACCCCTTTGGTATCATTAAAAAGTTATAAAACAGATGAGTTTTTAAGTTCTCAAGAAATCCTTATCAAGCAAAATAGGTTTAAAGCAATAGCTGAAATCTGGTAGCAAGGTGCAACTGGAGTAGGCTTACTGAATCACCAGGGATTTGGTGAGTGAACTCCTCTGTAAGTTCCATTGATTCCATAGGCCTACTCTAGTTATGACTTACTACCAGCTTTTAGCCACAGTGTTAGGACAAATAGACTACCTGTTGGACCAGATATAAAAAAATCTGGCTCATGAAACCAGACTGTCAGCAAGGCAAATTGGAGCTTTCAGATTTCACATGAAACAGTTAAATCAGACATGAAATTTAAGTCCCATTGATTCCAGTGGGTCTGACAAAGCTGGTCTTTAAACCCTTTTGTACAAAAGTATCTAGAAAAAGAAATCTCTTTTTCCTTAAGACTTTCTCTGTATCAGCGGTCACATGCTATGGTGAAATGCTTGTGAGCTGAGTGAAACAAACATGATCAACATGTGGCTGCAAATGCAAGAACAAGTAGGAGCTTTTTAAACTGTGCCAACTGAGTGCCACAACCATGCTAACCCTTTAGTGCCTTTTGGTACCTGTGATATGGAAAAGGATGGGCAGGGACCCAAGTATCTCTGTATTGACACCATGGCTGGATGTGGATTACATAGACATCAAGTGTTACTACCTCCCTTCCCTTCTCAATACTGCCATGTTGATGTAAGTTTTCAATCAATCAGCTTTATTCCAGGTTTACATATTGCAGTAATATGTTACCAAGGAGTAAGACGTTTCTAAGCAGTTGCCATATTTTTCAGCCCACATAACTACCACTGTTCTGTGCCACTGTTTTCTTTCTGTATTTCTTATACAGCCACACAATAAAGAGAAAATCATATCCCACTGAGTCTTTGTGTAATTAATACACTTCAATTTGCTGCCAAATCCCCAAGTCTAATTACTAATGCCATCTGCTTCTGAAAGGAGTGGTAATTTATTACCATATTCCTTGCTGGCTATTTCTGAGATCACGTCTTCTGTTTATATTCTGCTGTAGTTGGCAGTTAAGTCATGCCACTGAAAACATACTGCCTTACATTTTTATGCTTTTTTCACAGAGGTGCCTTTTCAGAGGTTTTCCTGGTGAAGCACAGAGCCACCGGCAAGCTTTTTGCTTTGAAGTGCATTAAAAAGTCACCAGTCACTCAGGACATCAACCTAGAAAATGAAATAGCTGTGCTGAAGAAGTGAGTATGGTCAGGATAGTGGAACCATTTCCTAGGGCCACAAAACTGCCACAAAACAATCTACAAAATGTTCATCAATGGAATTTAAAATGAGATTGAAAATGTTAGTTTCTAAGTGAAAGAAAACGGGAGTTATAATCTAAAAAAGAACGTTTCCAAAATCTGAACTTGGAGCTGCATCCAATGACCTGTTTCTCTCTTAGCTACAAAAGAAGCCACCTCTGGAAACAGATTTTTTTTCCCTTTCAGTAGACCTTTTCTGGTTGGGACCTAAAAATTGTAACAGTTAAACTGGCATAAAATCTATACATTTTTAAATGTCCACCTGCCAAAAGATTACAGCAGTGAATACTCTTCTCTGATCCCTTATTTCTAAGCACTACATTTAATTTTCTTTACCAAACCACTCTTTTTGGAGACAATTGCTGAGTATCTGAATACTTCTCCTGTTTCAGGATAGTCCTCAGCTCAATAAAAGGACACAGAAATGTGGATGACACAAAGTTGGGTGGAACAGCTGACGCCTTGGAAGACAGGAAAAAAATTCAAAACAATCTTGATAGACTTGAACTCTGGGCTGAAAACAACAGAATGAAATTTAACCAGGATAAGTTAAATGCCTTTTTCTTGGGAGAAAAAGACAAATGTACAGTTACAAGATGGGGGATACTTGGCTCAGCAATACTATGAGTGAGAAGGATCTTGGAATCACAAGCTGAATATGAGCCAGCAATGTGATGTGTCTTCTCAGAAAGGCCAATGTAATTTCAGGATGCATTAACAGAAATATAGTTTTCAAATCCCATTGGGTACTAGTCCTTCTCTATTCGGCACTGGTTAGGCCTTATCTACAGTAATGCATCCAGGTCTGGCTACTGAATTTGAAGAAGGATACTAACAAACTGGTTCAGAGGAAAGCAATAAAGATTATCAGGGGACTGGGAACCAATGCTTATGAGGAAAGACTGAAATAACTGGGCATGTTTAGCCTGGAGAAAAGAAGATTGAGGGGAGATATTATAGCATTTTTCAAATACTGTACTTGAAAGGTAGTTATACAAAGAGAGGGCAGGATCTGTTTTCAATCATCCCAGAGTGCAGGACACGTAATAATGGGCTCAAGCTATAGGAAGCCGCATTTAGGCTAAGTATCAGGGAAAATGTCTCAACTATTACAGCAGTATAACAATGGAACCTATCTTGTGTGGTGGTGAGCGTTCCAACGCTGAAGGAGTTCTAGAGAAAATTGGACAACCATCTGTCAGTTCTGCTTTTATTTCGATTCCTCCATTGAGCAGGGGATTGGTCTCAATGGCCTTATAGGCCCTTCCAACTCATTTATTCTATGATTCTGTGATTATATGAACTCCCACATTATGACGGGTAGAATAAGAAAAATGCCATGTTCTTTGAATTTGATTGACATATGTCAGTGATCCTCTGCAAGTCAAGGCTATCAACTACAAATGTTAAATAACAAGTATTTGTTCAAAGCCAGTATTTCTTGGCTTTGAACAAACAATTGTAAGTTTTTATTTCTAAAGAAAAGTGTTCTCTTTTCTTTAATAAGTACAGAACAGTCGTAGTGGAAGATATGCTCTCTAAGAGCTGGGTCACTTGCTGTATTGTACGTAGCATAAGAGATAATGCAGCTCTTCCAGACCCAGAAATAGGCTTGTTTCTAAGCAAGAAAACTGTATTTGTAATTTCTCTTTTCCCTGTGAATGTAGTGCTTGTGACCTTAGCTATGGATGGAAAGAAAAGTCCAGTTCATAGAATTTGAAGCAAGTTTTTGTTCCATGAATGGACGGTACTCACAGTGTTGTTGTTTTTAGGTGCGGGGGTGGCAATCTTCCTTCATCCAAATCAGACAGCAGGCATATTAAAGTAATGGAATCCAAACCAGAATGAAAATGAAAATAGCATATCACCCTAGATGAACTGATTTCAGTTTGACATTTTCTGCTTTCATAATTGTGAACAATTTATGTCTTTGGTTATAGGATAAAGCATGACAACATTGTGACACTTGAAGACATTTATGAGAGCACGACTCACTATTATCTGGTCATGCAACTGTAAGTATCAGTTCAGTGGCTGGGTAGCAAATATGTCAGTGAGATATGAGAACATAAGAACACCGTACAGGGATAGATGAATCTGTCGATCTCAATTTCTTTCTGTTTCTCATTTTTCTAGTGTTTGGTTCATCTTGACGATTGAGAACTGGTCAATGGTCAAAATTACAAAATTGTAATATTGTTTTCAAAAAATAGGTTTGCATGAAAATCTATATGCATTTGTTTAACCATTTCCCTTGATACATTCATTTTTTCATACATTTTACTTTAATGTACATGTCATTGCAAGCAATTTTCCAAATAGAATTCAAGTTTAATATTATGTCACGAAAACATTCATTGTTGTGTACACTTTCTGAATACTTGCATTATTCTAGTTTTCTTTCAAATGGAAGAACTTAATTGCAAAACTCAGACAAGCACAAAGTTCAGTAACAGAATTTCAGTTCATATATTAGTTTGAAAGTGCAAAATTAAACAAGTTTGCATTAAAATACAAATGGAACAGATCTTTTCCCTGTCTTTCAGTATCAGCCACCATCACAAATATGAGAAATCCCATCATGGGGTATGTGTGTTAAATGTTATACTACTGGCACAAGTACATCTTTTTCACAATAGATCTCACACTGTCACTAAATTATCAGTGTTATTTTGGTGTAGCCTTTCATGGATTGTGTCCCTCTTCATCTGATATATTATACAGTTGTGCCTCGCTTTACGATTGCCCCGCATTACAATGAAATCACATTACGATGATCGCAAAATGATGATCTAAATGGGTTTTTTTCACTTTGTGATGATTGGTTCCCTGCTTCGGGAACCGATTCTTCGCAAAATGATGATTTTAAAACAGCTGATCGACGGTTTCAAAATGGCTGCCAGGTAAACAAAATGGCTCCCCGCTGTTTTCTGGGACGGATTCCTCAAAAGACAGGCAGCGAAAACGGCTGCCCTATGGAGGATCTTCGCTGGACGGTGAGTTTTGACCCCATTGGAATGCATTGAAGGGGTTTCAATGTGTTTCAATGGGGTTTTCTTTGGCTTTACGATGTTTTCGCTTAACGGCGATTTTCCTGGAACGGATTATCGCCGTTAAGCGAGGCACCACTGTAATAGCCTAAATCCTCACTTAGTTCTGCTGGCATAACTTTGGAAGGCAAATTGTCTTAAATTGAGAAATCACCTTAGAGATTAAGTTGGAGCAATTTGTCTCCAGAAGTTACACCATTTGTGGAGGTATGCAAAAAGACTTTTGCTAATACATAGTAATTTGATGATAAACACAACTGTCAAGGCCATAACTCAGATGCATTGAGAGACAATGTGGAGAAAACAGATCCTATACCATAACTGTGATATTTCGAGGTTTCAAATCTATTATGATGGTAAAAAGTTTGGCACGTTTAACATGGCTTGATTGAATAAGTCTTTCTGATACCTAAGGCCCAGTTTAGGTGAAATTGCCCCATGGGATGTATGGGCTTCCTAATACAGTTTTTGCAATCCACAAGCCCTGTGGGACACCCCCATGGCGCTCTGCAGTGGCAAAAATATAGAATAACAAATGAGTTCTTATTCCTCAAGGCCTCAAAAAACAGTACTTTTTGCACAAATCAAGCCTGGGGACCAGCTCAGTCCCCGCCCCACCCCCGCAACTGCAATTTTTTTAAAAAAAAATCAAAATCAAAATTTAATATACAAACTGCCCAGAGTGGCAGCCCATCCTCAAAGGCTTTCATGGCTGGGATCCAATGGTTGTTGTGGGTTTTCCGGGCTGTTCGGCCATGTTCTTAAGGTTTTTCTTGCTAATGTTTCCCCAGTCTCTGTGGCTGGCATCTTCAGAGGACAGGAGTCAGAACTCAACAGAGTACAGACAGAGTTCTGAAAATGCCGGCCACAGAGACTGGCAAAACGTTAGGAAGAAAAAGTATAAGAACTCGGCCAAACAGCTTGGAAAACCCACAACAACAACAATCAATCAGAAATGAACTTCCAGCTGAGATAAATATAGTTTTACACACACACACACACACACACTCTCTCTCTCTCTCTCTCTCTCTCTCTCTCTCTCTCTCTCTCCCTTACAAAAAGTTGTCCTCCCCTTCTTTTCATTCCAGTACTGAGTAGACTAACAGTATTATTTTACACATACTACTCAGAGTTAAGCTCAATTCCATTTAGTGAATCTAGTCTCACATAATGTAATGAAGGTGTTACATGATAGTTACAGATTGTATTATAGAAGGCTAGAAAGAGCTTTATACACAAAGCTGATGAAAACGGATTCTTTGGAAATAGCACAGTAGAAGTACTACACAGTGTAAGCCACATTAGATTCAGTGTTTCACCCTGTGCCCCAACTGATTCATTTTTCTTTACAGAACTTACTGTGACACAGGAAACAAAGGGCAGAACCTCTGTTCTGCAGATGTATTTTCAGATTTAGCAAAACTGAGGATTGGAATTCATGGCCTCATGTATTTCCATCCTGGCTTTTTGGGGGCTACTGGCATTATTGTCTCTTGTCTGCAGTTTTAAGAAGATGTATTTTGTGATTGTGAGAGTGAGAGATGTCAAAGCAGAACTGTACTTCTTATCTCAGCAATTAGAGTCCATGCCCATAATTGTTTTTAGATTACAGATGAAGTAATTATGAGGTACAAGAATCTCCACCATTACAAGTAAACATATCCAACAAGCTATTCAGTGTGATGCTATGTGCAGAAATTACCATGGAAGAGAGGAAATAGAGAACTTAGACAATGCAATTTTCTCTTCCTAAACATGTAATTAAACAAGATTTCAAGCAGTTCAATCAGAACAGCTTTGTGATCCTTCTCATTATCTTCCTTCACAGAGTGTCTGGAGGTGAATTATTTGACCGCATTTTAGAACGTGGTGTTTACACTGAAAAAGATGCAAGTATAGTAATCCGGCAAGTCCTGGGAGCAGTGTATTATCTTCATGAGAATGGGATAGTCCATCGAGATCTGAAGGTATAGTCCTTTGTGGTCTATTACCTTGGTCACCACACCACCAAGTGATCTATAATGCATTCTTATTCATGGCCTCAAAGTTTTACAGTCATCCTCCAGTTTGCACTGAGTTATGCATCATCTCCATATCTTAAGAAATTGTAGACAGAGTTGGGTATGATGTCCACACACTCAGAAAGAGCTGGAAATAGTATTCCTGCAAAAATAGTGTGAAATGTAACTGTTTCACTTTTAAATAATAATTTGTTGGGCTTTTCATTCACCAAAGTTCATATCAGTCTCCTGCTCAACAGACGAAAAGTGCACACTGTGGTTGTTGTGGGTTTTTCGGGCTCTTTGGCCGTGTTCTGAAGGTTGTTCTTCCTGATGTTTCGCCAGTCTCTGTGGCCAGCATCTTCAGAGGACTGGAGTAGGAACTCTGTCCATGCTCTGTTACTGTTTGTTGGATAATTGAGTATTTATAGCTGTGGGCACACTATGGGTTTGGACTTTGTTTTTGTTTTGTTTTGTTTTTAGTTTCTTCTAAATTAGACAACCAAGAAGACCCTTTATTTAGAACAGTAATTCTCATTTTCTCATCAATAGCCTGAAAACCTGCTGTATTTAACTCCAGAAGAAGATTCCAAAATCATGATCACAGACTTTGGTTTGTCTAAAATGGAGCAAAATGGTGTCATGTCTACAGCATGTGGTACTCCAGGATATGTAGGTAAGCAACGAAAGAGGGATGATCTAGAGGTACTACTACTACTACTACTACTACTACTACTATTACTACTACTACTACTACTACTACTACTACTACTAACAACAACAACAACAACAACAACAACAACAACAACAACAACATGTATAATCTGTCAGCGCCTCAGTTTCCTGCCAGAAAAGTTGCCTACCTGAGTGTGGTAGAGAAAAATATAATTCTGAATCCTTAGCTTCTTCCATGTTTTCGCCTTCCCTTTTCCATACAGCATTATGGAAATTAAAGATAACACTTACTGAACCTGCAGATTAAAGGAAGAATCTTGAAACAAGATATGTATTGCTGTTTTCACAATCTTACTGTTCTACTCACTTTTTACATGTTATCTGAATGATATGTGAGGGCAGCAGCATGCAGGATAGGCCTTCTAACATTTGATATAATATTTGCCAGAATCATAACAATTATATGTGAGGTGCTTATGCTATTGCTAATCTGTATTTGATTTGTATTTGCTGCAGCTCCAGAGGTGCTGGAACAAAAGCCATATAGTAAAGCTGTCGACTGCTGGTCCATAGGAGTCATTACCTATATCCTGTGAGTGCCATCCATGAATTGTTGTGACTACAGCAGCCTTGGAAATGTCAACAGATGTTTTCAGCCTTTGGAAATGTATAGTAGCCTGCATGTTCTACTCAGGACAAAGAAAATAAAATGTATTAGTCATTGTACCCTTCTGATGGCCTAAAAGAATGGCAGAGGCAAGCATGCCCCACATGGTTGCCTGGAATATTTTGGGTAAACAAAGACTTTCACGGTCGGGATCTAATGGTTGTTCTGGGTTTTTCGGGCTCTTTGGCCATGTTCTGAAGAAACAATTTTTTTTCCCTTCTGGAAGATGATATAATACTGATTCCACGTTGGCAATTATGTCTTCCACAGGAATTTTACCAGGTGTGATTGCAAAATTTCCTCCTTTGCTTAAGACTGAGGTTTCTTCTGGGGAGAGTTGGCATCCCGATAAGTTGATGATGATGCGCGTGGTGTCTAGTGTAGGTTTCTGTTGGCTTGGTTGGCATTTGTTGAATTTCTGTTTTTGTCTGGCTGTGTGGTTCATCATTTCTTTTTCCATCTTTTTGTAAGAGAGGGTATCAAGCTTGTCCCAATCTTGGCTTCTCATTTTTTTGGCTGATAGTGATGTGTAGGCCTAGTAGTTCTTTGTCTGTGGAGTCCAGTTCTTTGTGGGCTGTGTGGATTCTTTCCCGTAGGAGGGCATGTTCCAGGCGGTCGTAGATGCGGCTGGCCTGTGGGGAAAGGATGGTCCTTTTTGTCCTGAGGAACGCAGGTATGGTCTTTGTGTCTCTGCAGCGTAGTAGGAATGTTAAGGAACATAGTAGGTGTGCTCTTTTGCTTCGGGTCTCCAGGTCTGTCTGACTCTTTCCTCCCTGTAGAGGCGTTCAATATATTTGCATTTCATGGCTGGGATCTAATGGTTCTTCTGAGTTTTTCGGGCTCTTTGGCCGTTTTCTGAAGACGGCGAAAGAGCCCGAAAAACCCACAACAACCAAAGTTTTAGTTGCCTATCTTGTTTATTGTACTATATAACCCTACATTGCCCTGAATTTAAGAAAAGAAAAAAAGACTGCATCTAATTGCTAGTGCCATGAAGTCCCACTGATTCAGTAGATCCTTTCTGGTTGAGACCTAACAATTGGATTCAGCAATGGAACATATGCAACAATGACTTAACATATTCCATTCATTCAATGGACCTACTCTACTTGGAACTACTAACTAGATTTAACTCTCAGTTTTTCCATCCCTGTGGCCGCTGTCATTTTTCTTTCTTATTTACCTGCTGCATTACATATTACCTGCCTGCCAAGGTACTGAAGGACGTTTAGAATTAAAAATGGTAAATAAAACAGCAAGCTGTTGACAGCCGCCTCAGGAACTGATGGCTTGAGTTTCTCCTCTTCTACCTTTTGATTTTTTTTTCACACTGTGTCACTGCGATGGTGCCTTTTCTCCAGATAACTTTAGCTAAGAAACATGAAGGCTGAAACCCTGTGAACAGGCAGTGCATCAGATGTAGACATAGACTTCTGCATGCATTTTGGTACCTGGATGAAGTAATGTGCCATGACACAGGATGCAAAGATAAGATCCTTCTGTTCCAGTAAATGTAGTCTTAATGTTTCTTCATTTCAGAAATTAGCAGGTATATTATTCATCATTATTATGGATAGTGCTAGCCTCTCATTGTTCTTTCTATGCTCAAGTGACCTTCATTAATACCTTTTTAGGGATGTCAGCCATGTGCTGATTTATTCTCATGTACTTAACAAAAAAGTGTGAAGACTCCTCTCCTTTACACAAGACAATGCTAATTGTTGTTGTTGCCATCATAGTTGTTGTTCTAGTTGCTGGTCTGAGAGAGAATTTTCTCAATTGCCAGACCTTTTTTTCACATTTCTGGAAGTATGCATAAATTAAACCTATGATAACTTGTGCCTTGTTGCATGGATTTTTAAAGATGAATTAGATGTCTCGTTTATATATTTGTGAGCAATCAACCTACCCTTATGAGCTTGCTTCATCTATCTTGTTACCCAATACAGTATAGTGGACAGAGTGACAGACTAGGAGTCAGCAGACTTGGGTCCCATTCCTCATTTGGCCATGGAAACTCACTGGAGGGAGGGGTGGAACTGGTAAATCAATTCCTGAAATACCTCACTTACCTTTAAAGCCTTAGTAGGGTCACTATGAATCATTTCTGATTTGACAGCACTTCAATATAGCCATATGACTGCTTACCTTTGCAAAGGAAAAAGTAGTTAAATCTTTTTTGTACAATTGCACAAAAACACACATACACACACCAAGTAGCGGCCAAAAATCTGTTGCATAAAGTTACTCATGTGGAAGGGTAACAAAGTTACCAGCGGCTTTTCCAACTCACAGATAATTTGTTTCATTTAATGGAGATTGTGGGACTCATGACATGGTAGAAGGCAGTCGTTTATTACTTAAAATCTCCACCACTGGATAGTATTGCCAGCAGTGATACATCTTCTGCAGATAAAGAGTTCCTCCTTCTCACCCACAGCTCCCATGTAATGGCTTGTTTTTAACCTTTTGTTTCTGTTCATGGGGTTTTCTTGGCAAATATACTGAAGTGGCTTGCCAGTTCCTGCTCCAGGTGGATCGCGTTGAGTCAGAACTCTCCACTATGACCCGTCCGTCTTGGATGTCCCTGCATAGCATAGCCCATAGCTTCTCTTAATTGCTCAAGCCCCTTTGCCACGACAAGGCAGCAATCCATGAAGGGATTATGCCAACAAAGGTCCGCATAGTCAAAGCTATGGTCTTTTCCAGTAGCGATGTATGGAAGTGAGAGTTGGACCATAAAGAAGGCTGACCCCCAAAGAATTGATGCTTTTGAATTGTGGTGCTGGAGGAGACTCTTGAGAGTCCCCTGGACTGCAAGGAGAACAAACCTATCCATTTTGAAGGAAATCAACCCTGAGTGCTCACTGGAAGGACAGATCCTGAAGCTGAGGCTCCAATACTTTGGCCATTTCATGAGAAGAGAAGAATCCCAGGAAAAGACACTGATGTTGGGAATGAGTAAAGGCAAGAAGAAAAGGGGATGACAGATGGACAGTGTCATTGAAGCTACCAACATGAATTTGACCCAATTCTGGTCTGGCGTGCTCTGGTCCATGGGGCCACGAAGAGTTGGACACAACTTAACAAGAAAACAACAACAATGGCTTGTTTTCATGGTGGACAAGGCACAGGACCAAAGGAGGAAATTTTTTAATTACTGAATATCTCCCTCTGCCAGTGACATTCTCACCCTTCCACAAGTATAGCATGGAATAGAATTTTGACCACTGTTTTGTTGCCCTGCTGTCTCACAAGACATGCGAACTTTTGCTGGGCTTGGAAATTCATTGCTAAGTTGTCCTGTCATGTTGTGTTAGTCTGCTGTGATGAAAAATGTTACTTTTGCACTTTCTGAGCACTGTTTTATTACCTTCTGTTGTAGAATAATTGTTCATGTAGATCATGTAGAGTGCCTGGAATTGTAGAAACAGAGGTCCACAGACAAGAAGTGCAGCAAAAATCCAGCAGGACTTTGAATGAGCTGGTTCCTCCATCTTCGGACAAGTTCTGCCTTGCTGAAATGGCTTTGCTCGGGGTTTTATTCTGATTTCCAGATAACACTGAGTGTGCATTATTTAATAAAAGAACAATATTTCCTCCCTCATTTTTTAAAACATTAGTCATAATTTTTAAAAAACAAAACTGACCACTTCTGTGGAGACATTGCAAATTCCATAATGAGGCCATACATTTATAGGCTAATGAATAAGTATGTATAAGCACACACAAAATATGCAGGCTTTGAGGAAAACTGTCCCTTCAGCAGGTGGGATGTTAAGACTAAGCAAGAGGTTGGAAAATTAAGTGTGATGGAGGAAGGATACTACAGATACTTTGTGTGTCTCTAAACAGTTTTTTGTGCTTTTTTGGCTGCCCTGTAAGGGTATCTCTTGACTGTGAAGTTTGGAGTCTGTCTGGTGCCAAAACAGCTATCACTCAGTCTTGGGTTTTGGATTTTGTTTGCTATTTGTTTGGCCACCAAATCTAAGGGAGAAAAGATTCCACCCTCGGCACTAGCCAGATGGAGCCTACTATAAAGGAACAGCTGGTAACATGGGACAGAAATGTGTGATTCTTACATAAAATCTTTTCTGTTACCACCACGAGAATGAACTGCCTGTTGTTTGCTCACAGCACTGGCCTCTATTCTTCATCCAGCCCTTGATTTGTCTTTCTAAACATACAAAGGGAAGGGAAGCTGGAAGCTTCTGACAACAATTACTCATCCAATTGTCTTTTCTCCTCCCTCCCCCCATCTGCCCCAGTCTGTGTGGATATCCTCCCTTCTATGAAGAGACAGAGTCCAAACTATTTGAGAAGATCAAAGAAGGCTACTATGAATTTGAGTCCCCATTTTGGGATGACATCTCTGAATCAGGTACTTTTGTCATCTGGCAAAATCTCTGCTTGTTTTCTGTAGGGGTGCTTTGAACTGGCTGAATTGCTGTAAATGGGCAATTACCTGGCAGACAGTAGGCAGTCAAGAACTTCAGGAAACATCGGGTTCTCTTTACGTTGTGGGAACCACTCTGCCCTTCATTTGGAAGGTAACATCTTTCAGGGAATGCAATGGAAAGATTGGAGGAGGGACGTAGTCAGTATGCGGTAGCTTTTCACTAAAACTGTATGGTGCCAAAGCATCCTTCGGGTGTAGTTGCTCTTTGGGAATTTGAAACAAGGTAGATGTTTGCTGCCTGTCATTGGAAATCTCCTTGCTTCCAAGAGAATTTGCTTGAAAATCTGCAGGCTGAATCCAACATCAAACTCGTAGACGTCTGTGTCTGTGCAATGAGATTTTCTTCTTCTCCCAGCAGCCGAGGAATCTCCTAAAAAACAAAAACAAAGACCTGTTTCAAGGGCATACAGGATAGAAACGTATGCTGCCATGCTGATTAATGTAGTTCTGTCCATGGAACATGAGTCCATGAAAATCTGTAAATCTCTTGTCTAAAGGAAGTTTTTATCCAAAGAAACTTCTAAATCATGTAATCCTGATCTTAGCACCTAGTGTTTAAAAATAGCAGTATCCCATTGTATTCAAATGTTCTAATACATTTTAATACAATGGAATAATGCTTATGCATAGGGAAGAGCATTTTAGCCCTATATCGCACCCGCTCTGCAACCACTATCATCAAAGGGAGAGCCATTGCTGTCTCTAGGAGATTCCCCATGTGGGTTGGGCTTCTGGAAAATCAGGGCTCCCCCTTCCACAGAGAACCCCCATGAACAGCAGAGTGCATCATCATATGTGGTTCTCCATATATAGACAGGTGATGCAACCAAGGATGGAGGGGCAGCACTAGAGTACCCCTCTCTATGCATGACACCAATTTAATTTTAGCCTAATACTAATTGGAATGCATTAATTGCCATGAGTGTTATCGTGCATTTCTTAGATGAAACTAACATATCAATATTTTGAGAGATAATTTTTTTAAAAAAAAGTAATAATTCCAATCTTTAACATATAGTTAGGAGTAGGCATAGGATTTGTGGGTGGTTTTGAATGTGGCATATAGTTAGGAGTAGGCATAGGATTTGTAGATGGTTTTGAATGTGGCTGTCCTGCCAACCTAGCGGTTTGAAAGCATGCAAATGCAAGTAGATTAATAGGGACCACCTCGGTGGGAAGGTAACAACATTCTGTATCTAAGTCGCACTGGCCATGTGACCATGGAAGATTGTCTTTGGACAAATGCTGGCTCTATGGCTTGGAAATGGGGATGAGCACTGCCCCCTAGAGTCAAACACGACTGGACAAAAATTGTCAAGGGGAACCTTTACCTTTACCTTTACCCTTGTGGCTCACCTCAGAGAAAGGCATAAGCTGGAAGGCTTTACAGGCAGCTAGGCCTAGCTCCTCCTAGCTTCCTATTCAGAAGAGAAGGTCTCATCTAGCAGTGGGGCAACTGTCTTTGTACACAGGAAGCTAGGCAGAGCTATGTCTAGCTAGGCCATAAAGTCTTCCTGCTTAGACCTGGGAGAGCCACATTCAGATGTTAGCAGGTATCTCTTTGTCAGGTGGACCTCTCATAATGGAGAATCATGGAATTTGTAGTCAAAATAATCTAGAAATCCCATGTCTAGTTGGTCATGGTTTCAGCAGACATGTGTTGCATGCAGAATGTCATAAATATAATACCAACCACCTGCAATTGGAAGAAATGTAACTAAAGGAGCTGAGAAGGAATCTGGAGAGCTCTTGTCACTCAGAGTAGTAAATACTCAACTGTGATGTAATCACTATAAAGCAGTTTTTGATGTTCAGAGAGCTTTTTAAAAAAAAAAAGTCATAAAGGCATTTGATTAGCAAATAAGCATTGTGGATAATGCAGACGTTTTGAGCAATTCTAAGATTAGGAGAAACCCCTAAATCTCTCCTGAGTCTGTCCACCCATAGTCTCAGAAAAGATTTCAAGAAGGCCTACATAAATCTGCTATCTAGTGGAATATTACGTATGGCAAAAGAAAAACTCACACAAACACAACAATCCACTTGTTGGGAATAATGAGTACTAGAACAGATTGTTTTCTGCAGGTGTTCTGAACTTTATCTGTCTTCATTCCTTCTGAACAGCCAAGGATTTCATTTGTCACCTGTTGGAGAAGGATCCAAATGAGAGGTTAACCTGTGAAAAAGCACTCAGGCATCCCTGGTAAGTGAAGTGGTGCTAGTACAGTCAAACCATGCAACTTTTTGTGATGTAGTAAGAAGCTGTAGTTGTTCTGTCATGGCAATGGCCGTGGATCATAAAACATAAAACATTCTTCTCTGAGATCTCAATTAACATGAATCACGAGAAAAGAATATATAAATATGGAATTGCTATTTTTCCTAACTATGTTTACTTGTGCTGGGATTGAAGGAGTGTTAAATTAAGAAGTGAAATGGTGTAAACAGAGCAGGAGAGAGAATTCTTGACACCTCACTGAACTTTAGCTGCTAGGATTCGTTTGAGGAAACCATGGCAGAGCTAATACACATTTTCAATTAAGACAGTGCTTCCAGTTCTCCCAAAGGGCTTTTTCAAGTGAAGACACTATTTGTCTGAATCTCACAAAATTAAGCTAAGGCTAAACAGAGGAAAAATGACTTCTCTCAGGTCTATATCAGTGCAAGAGGAAGGGCCAGAGTAAGTGGGTTTGTGTTGAGGGAAATAAATTGGCAATGAGCTGAGAATCAGTCCTGTGCTTCAAACAAAACATCCATCTTATGACAACTTTCTCTGTTCAGACTACCTTATTTGTGCTGGTAATGCTTGTGAAAATCACCATAGCTTAGTCCTCCCTTTGACCTGTATGTTCACTATTAAGATAGCCAGTGAGGGAGGCATCTCTCTTCTGACTGTGCTAAAGCTATGCAGGCTTAGTTTATATTATGCTCTGTTGCTTTCTCCCCCTTATGTATTTAATTATTATTGATTGAACATACAAAGACATTAGCTAACTGCTTCAAAAATGCAAAATGCCTCACAAACACCATCTGCCTACGTGCTTGTTTTTCCTCTCACTCCGTCTGCAGGATTAATGGAAACACAGCCCTCTACCGTGACATATATCCATCTGTCAGTGCACAGATCCAGAAGAATTTTGCAAAAAGCAAGTGGAAGGTATGTTGACTGATGCTGATATTCAAGAATAGTCTCAGAACAACGACCCAAGATTCTAAAGCTGACTAGTGTAAAATTTGCAGCGAAACCACTCTCTACAAAAGCAAAAACAAAACTCCAAATTGTTAGTATTTGGATACTAGAACATTTAATGTGATTTTGGGTCTGTGGTCTGGCACGCTGTATGCAGAAATGAATCTCAAATGGTGTGACAACAGACTCCTTCTGGCAATTTCTACTTGCCTGATGGAAATTATGTAAACTGCAGCAGCAAATTACTGCTCATTAATGAGGTGCTGTTTGAATTCCTGGGCATGCAGCCAATTATTAGAAGAGTGTGGAAATCAATGGCTTGAAACCTCCAGGTATGCAGTGGAGGAAAAAAAAATCTAGACTAGAGATGGGGACGAAGCACCAAAATGGCGCTTCATCTTGATTCATGGGTTGTCAAACTTGATAACCCATGACCCACAAATTGTCCCCCAGTGCCCCGACAAACAATGAATCTATTCGTTGGGTCATATTTTTTTAGACAGCCCATGGGGCTATCTAAAAAAAAAAGTCACAGCCCCATGACCCACAAATTGTCCCCCAGTGCCCTGACAAACAATGAATCTATTCGTTTGGTCATATATTTTTTTTAGACAGCCCATGGGGCTATCTTAAAAAAGAGTCACAGCACTCTCAGCCTCCCTATGCCCACACAGCACAGGAAGAGGAGGGAAAGGGGGATCAAAGGGATCACCCAGCCCTACTTCCTTTGCAAAGACAGTGAGGATAGGGGATTGCTTCTGACAGCCTACATTCATCTTCCTATCCCCATCAGGGCATAGGAAGAGGAGCAAAGGGGGACCAAAGCCATCTCCCAGCAGGGCATAGGAAGAGGAGCAAAGAGGGACCAAAGCCATCTCCCAGGCCCAGGGGTGAGATTCCCTTTGAGCAGGCTTTAGCAAGCCACCCGAAGGAAAAATCCCTCTCTGCTTATGTCCCTGAGGAACAGCTGATCCACGGTGGCATAAGTAGGGGCATAGGAAGAGGAGCAAAGAGGGACCAAAGCCATCTCCCAGGCCCAGGGGTGAGATTCCCTTTGAGCAGGCTTTAGCAAGCCACCCGAAGGAAAAATCCCTCTCTGCTTATGTCCCTGAGGAACAGCTGATCCACGATGGCAGAAGCAGATAGGCAACAAAGGGACAATATTAAAGGGTTATATTTATTACTTTGTATTCATCAGAGTCTCTGGACCCCAAGAATACAAAGCAATGAATATCTGACGAATCAGGGATATTCAACAAATATCCCAATTCATTTTTATATTGGTCCCCATATCTAATCCAGACATTACAAGTCTCCTTTGAATATACCACCCCTTATTGTTAGTTAATTTTACCTCACTATAGTCTCAATCAATTCAGTCAGAGACTCTGGTGCTGAAAAAGAATTTTTAAAAAGTATCTCTTTTATTCACAAATGTTCATATATGTATATGTATATAAATGTATCAGCATATAAAAAAACCAATTTACTTGTTACATAATATGAGATCTCAAATGATTAACCTCATTAATTGACTATCTGTTTACATAAGCACTTCACTTAGACTCTAACTGCTGACTCCATAACTGTCAGACTCTAACATACACAGAACACTGACATTGCTGACTCTAATTGACACTGAACCCTGACTGAGTAAAAAAAAAAAAAAGGCAGGAAAAGTAATCTGAGGTAAAGAGAAAACAATTGGCTTCTGCTAACTGATTGACATTCAGCCACAAAGTCCCTGCCATCTTAAAGGCATAATATGCAGGTTGCTATAATTCCAGTGCCAATTATGTGACTAGATGCACACCTTGTTAAGGAGTGACTATTTGCTAGAAGAACCTCTGTGATTTCCCTTACATAAGGGTAAATTGCCAGTAGATTTCTGGGCCAAATCCCTTAATTATGGCAGAATTGTTATGCTAATTTTGCCTATAATAAAGAAATAGAAAATAAATTGCATTCATTTTGGAAGTGTGCTAGGCTCTTATGAGTTCTGGATAATTTATATAGCTAAAGTAAAAATCTCACTGCAGACAGTTTGCCTTACTTGCAGATAAGTATGTCTAAGATTGCACATGTGTTCTGAAATCTTTCCTATTGTTTCCATTTTTTCCATTGGATTATCTCTGACATCAACCTATCAGGTTCAATCACACAAACAGCTTCTAGTTTATGTGTTGATTTTTGCCTGTAATGAAGGGGGAGAAGATCCATAAACCTGGTTTTCTCCCATGTTGAATTGTCCCCATGTAGAATGGCATCTGAACAGATTCAATGCTCATCCATCTCTTAGACCAGTCTCACAGAATCTGTTCTCCTCTTGTTTATTAGCAAGCCTTCAATGCTGCAGCCGTTGTTCACCACATGAAGAAACTCCACATGAATTGCCACAACACAGATCTGACCACCAAAAGCAGTCTTCCGTTCATTCAGGTGCAGAATGCCTCAAGGCCAGCTACTCCGTCAGTTACCAGCCAGGAACAGCAAAATCAAGATGCAAAGAGGTTGATTCCTGTGTTGCCCTACCAGAATACTCCAGAACTTTCCAATCAACAGGACAAGATGCTTGACAGCCAGCATGTGGATCATCTCACTATTACATCCCTCTCTGTTGCCACCACCATAGCCATGGAGGACAGCCAGACCTCTCCCAACAGACCTTCAGTGGACAACAGTGCAGCATGTGGGACACATGAGAAAGTGAAGACAGGCTTTTGCTCAGAGTCAGTACTCCTCAAAAGAGGTGCCAAGTCGCAGTAGGTATCCATTCCACCAGGTGAAATTGTTGAATTAGAAATCCTAATTGCTACATACAATATATTAGAGCCTTCCCTAAGTAGGGTTGCTTGAGCCAAACTGCTATGTGGGGTGGTTGTTGTGGGTTTTTTGGGCTCTTTGGCCGTGTTCTGAAGGTTGTTTTTCCTAATGTTTCACCAGTCTCTGTGGCCGGCATCTTCAGAGGACAGCACTCTGTGCTCTGGTCATTCGCGAATACATTGCTGTGTGGGACTTCACTACCAATGATCTTCTGGTAGCATAGACACTGGCTGTGTTTTCTGGGGACAGCAGGAGTTTGGACAAATACCTCTGGAGAAGGGTGGTCAATAATGTTATTGTGTCTTAATCACAGAAAAAGATGAGAGTTCTGCTAATCATGGCAAGGTAGTGATTTTCATGTCCTTATATATCTTGAAATCCATGAGCTTGTTGTTGAAGGGTACCAAAGTCACTCACTAGACAAATACAGAAATAAACACAAAAAATAAATGAACTCTATCATTAATAATAATAATAACAATAACAATAATAATAACAATAACAACAACAACAACAACAACAACAACAACAACAACAACAACAACAATAATAATA